ATATAGCCAAATTGCCCCCTTATTGCCCCGCCCCTCAGCCCCCTGGGGGGTCAGCCCCATCATTTGTACAATTTTGAATCCCCACCACCTAGGGATGCTTCCAGTCAAATTTAGTTAAATTCCAATAAGTTGTTAAGAAGAAGAAGTCGTTTAAAGAAATTGTTGACGGACGGACGACGGACGACGGATGACGGACGGACGGACGACGGACGCCACGGTATGGCATAAGCTCACCTTGGTCCTTTGGACCCGGTGAGCTAATAAAGAAGTTCCTATTTCATAAATATCAGATGGAAATGCATCGAGTTTACATCACAGAACAATTTGAATAAACCTGTTGCCTTCAGCCCAACATGCTACAGGCTACATATAATGATCCTTTGACTCCAGAAACCATCGCAAAAATATGCAAAATAAAATTGAGAAACTGACCTCTGAATGCATGTAACGTCCATCAACAATGGTGTGCTGACTAAGCTGACCATCACCTGCTGACATTACAGCCAGCTTGTGACACTTGACTAGACTGTTGGTGACCAGCTTGATGACATCATGGTTCTTGTTGAGTTCATGGAGAATTCCCTGTCAAAAATGTATGTCAGCATACAGAGCAAGAAATATACAAGAAATATACAAACGAGAATCAGTGTTTTCTATTAACAGCTATGGTCATATAAGTACATGCCATGTTGTATGTGGTGGTGGAGGAAAGCCGAAATACCCAGAGAAAACCATCGACCTGCGACCAGTACCTGGCGACTGCCCCATGTAGGCCTCGAAGCATCGACCAAGTGGTGGATGGCTAGTGGTATCGGAATGTCAGACGCCTTAACCACTTGTTTGCTACTGTGTCAAGGTTAGGACACTTTCATTCTCACATAGACATATTCTCACACAGACATATTCTCACACAGACATATTCTCACAGAGATATATTCACATAGACATATTCTTACACAGACATATTCTCACAGACATATTCTTAGACATATTCTTACACAGGCATATTCTTACACAGACATATTCTCACAGACATATTCTCACATAGACATATTCTCACACAGACATATTCTCACAGAGATACATTCACATAGACACATTCTTACACAGACATATTCTTACACAGACATATTCTCACAGACATATTCTTACAGACATATTCTTACACAGACATATTCTCACAGACATATTCTTACACAGACATATTCTCACAGAGATATATTCTCATAGACATATTCTTACACAGACATATTCTCACTCAGACATATTCTCACACAGATATATTCTCACACAGACATATTCTCACATACATATTCTCACAGACATATTCTAACACAGACATATTCTCACACAGACATATTCTCAGAGATATATTCACACATAGACATATTCTTACACAGACATATTCTCACAGACATATTCTCACAGACATATTATCACAGATATATTCTCACACAGACATATTCTCACAGACATATTCTCACAGATATATTCTCACATAGACATATTCTTACACAGACATATTCTCACAGAGATATATTCACACAGACATATTCTTACACAGACATATTCTCACACAGATATATTCTTACATAGACATATGTTGAGTGACTGACAGGTAAGTAAAGTCAATTAACAAAATGGAAGCCTACAGTAAAGACTGTTGCTATGACAACTTACCTTGTCTGACTTCTGAATGCACTGTTTTAAGATGTTTTTACAGATGTGTAGCAGCTGTTTTAGGGCCGGTAGTACACATGCACCCTACAGAAACAAAACACCAAATGAGAAATAAACTGTAACTCTTGATAAACATGGAGTTTTCAAAAGAAATATTTAACTGATTAAATAACAAATAAATTTAAATGTCAATTGATAAAAATTCAAAAAGTTACATATAAATATAAGAGATTATCAATAAATATGTTACATCAAATTACACCGAAAAATAAAAATTATATTTAAGACTTGACAGTGCCTCAGTTTTCGGGTCTTACCTTTTTAATGTCCTCCACACATTTGACAACATACTTCCTCTTTTCCTGCTCCTTGACACTGAAGGAGTCACTGAGGATAGCCAGATGCTCCTCTAGGGCCTGCTCTATCAGGTGTGTGGACATCGCTCGCAGGTGTGACAAGTCCCACAGTAACTCCAATACCTGTACAGGTCAAAGGTTAAATAACTATCACCCAGGTATACAGACCAGAAGTTCTGACAGGGCCAACAGGTGCCGCAGTAAAGTCTAATACCGGTACGGGTCAAAGGTTAAATTATTATCACCTGTATATACAGACCAGAGGTTCTAACAGGGCCAACAGGTGCCGCAGTAAACTTTATTACCTGTATGGGTCAAAGGTTAAATTACTATCACCTGTGTATACAGACCAGAGGTTCTAACAGGGCCAATAGGTGCCGGAGTAAACTCTAGTTCCTGTACAGGTCAAAGGTTAAATTACTATCACCTGTGTATACAGACATGAAGTTCTGACAGGGCCAACAGGTGCCACAGTAAACTCTATTACCTGTACGGGTCAAAGGGTAAATTACTATCACCTGTATATACAGACCACAGGTTCTAACAGGGCCAACAGGTGCCGCAGTAAACTATATTACCTGTACGGGTCAAAGGTATAAATTACTATCATCTGTGTATACAGACCAGAGGTTCTAACAACCAAAAGTGCCGGAGTAAACTCTAGTACCTATACAGGTCAAAGGTTAAATTACTATCATCTGTGTATACAGACCAGAGGTTCTAACAGGGCCAACAGGTGCCAGAGTAAACTCTAGTACCTATTCAGGTCAAAGGTTAAATTACTATCACCTGTGTATACAGACCAGAGGTTCTAACAGGGCCAACAGGTGCCAGAGTAAACTCTAGTACATGTACAGGCCAAAGGTTAAATTATTATCACCTGTATAATAAGACCAATAGTGACTGACAGTTCTCCAGTATTGGTACATATAATAGTGTATAACATGTCTACAATAGACCGATAGGTTGTGCTAAGAAGTAACACAAAAAATCAGAAAATGACATCCTTTTTATCGATATTACCTATAAATTCATAAAATGTTCTATCTGATTATTACCTATTTTGAATTTTCCGTATAAACAAGGTTCCACCAAATCAGCGTTTACTTACCCTAGTTGTACTTTTTACATCTCTTGCATCTCGCCCGATCTTTCCAATCAAGCTTAGCAGCTTTTCCCGCATCTTATCATTATCCTCCTGCCATTTCTACCAAGGAGAAATATAGCTGAATAACATTTCAAGTCAAAAAATATCAATAACATATATTAAGTATTTTTATTTAGTCAAATATTATTTCAAAACAATGAATTAACTTCATATGTAGGTGTATATAAGCAACCGGTAGCTTTTAACACATAAGCCTTTGTCACAGAGATCCTTTAATGCAGGGTTGTGACAATAAAGACAGACATACCACGTGTATAAGACAAAACAGGTGGTCCAGTAGGTTGACAATAAAGACAGACATACCACGTGTATAAGACAAAACAGGTGGTCCAGTAGGTTGACAATAAAGACAGACATACCGTGTGTATAAGACAAAACAGGTGGTCCAGTAGGTTGACAATAAAGACAGACATACCGTGTGTATAAGACAAAACTGGTGATCCAGTAGGTTGTGACAATAAAGACAGACATACCATGTGTATAAGACAAAACAGGTGGTCCAGGAGGTTGTGACAATAAAGACAGACATACCGTGTGTATAAGACAAAACAGGTGGTCCAGTAGGCTGACAATAAAGACAGACATACTGTGTGGATAAGACAAAACAGGTAGTCCAGGAGGTTGTTACAATAAAGACAGACATACCAAGAGAATAAGACAAAACAGGTGGTCCAGTAGGTTAACAATAAAGACAGACATACTGTGTGGATAAGACAAAACAGGTAGTCCAGGAGGTTGTTACAATAAAGACAGACATACTGTGTGTATAAGAAAAAACAGGTGGTCCAGTAGGTTGTGACAATAAAGACAGACATACCATGTGTATAAGACAAAACAGGTGGTCCAGTAAGTTGTGACAATAAAGACAGACATACTGTGTGTATAAGACAAAACAGGTGGTCCAGTAGGTTGTGACAATAAAGACAGACATACCGTGTGTATAAGACAAAACAGGTGGTCCAGTAGGTTGTGGTCAAACTTGACCGCTGCTGCCGCAATGATGGAATGAATGTTGTCTGTTACATTATTTGTCTGTCGTATCTGAAATTAAAACAAATTTAATATGATAATTTTATCACTGTAGACAGTTAGACACCTCCCCCTCCAGAAATATATAAATGTGCATGATGTTTATGGAAATTTAGGAGAGTGAATATTTTTACAGTGCATTAATATTCAAATACACTTGGTAATTATTTATCAAAGTATAGGGTTATTTTAAACACTCAACATTTTATACACACCTGCATTTTCCAGATCATTGTCAGCTCGTCCTGGGACAACTCGGCACCAATGTAGTCGACGATTCCCTTTATCTTATCACAGTACTGGGTTTGGTCTATGTTACCTGTCAATTAGAAACACGGTACGATAATGAACAAACTATTATATTTCTATAATTGTTCTTAAAGACACGTTATAACCCAGCAACAATGGTGAATTGATTTATGATAGAGTTCCATTTATAAATTGATTTATGATTGAATTCCATCAATAAACCGAGTCATATGGAGACCAATATGTTCTACAACTTCATGTTACATACCTTCTAAAGCTATTGACAAAATTTTATTTTCCACCAGCCAATCGGAGATCTTTCGGGAAGGAATGGCTGTCTTAGGCACTTTACTGGAGGCAGCTTCCTCTATCAACTTGGAGACCTGGAAATTGTTTTCATTATGAGTAAGACTTTTTTCTGTCAATATCAAAAACAAAGTATCATTAAAAACAACTATAAAAAGAGGATAAAACCATTCTGCATCTTGGTATGTGTTACAACACATTCAGTGACTGTACATACATGTATATCGTACAAATATTCCAGAACATCTTTACATGTAGTGACGTTAACCTAGTCCAAACAAATGTCTACCTTCTGCTCACTGTAGAAGATGATGATGGAGCACTTTCTATAACTTTTGGACATGAATATTTTTGAAGCTCTGATCAAGTTAAGTACAATAGAGATTTCTCATAATCAGTAGAGCTTTTGCACCTCTTTTAGGGAGTTCATCTTCGCATTAAAGTGTGGAGACTTGAGCATGCGTAGAGCGATATCCAGTCGAAGGTCGTCCAGGGAGTCTGTGTGCTGAGGCCACATCTGGATACATAACAGCTTCATAGAAGCCAGCAGGTCTGATACATATCCAACCTTCTGTTGACAGAAACTCGTGAATTAGTTCAACTCAGACTTTGGAGTAAGTCAGACTTAAATTCAAGTCTAAAATTGAATCAAAGCTTAATTTTATGGTTATTCAATTCAATTTGAACACAATTTCAACTAAACTGAAACATATTTGGTATATAGAGGCTACTAAATTTGCAAGGTAGAAGCATTGTTTTTAACATTTCATATGTTCATAATGAAATTTTATCTGAGTTTGTACCCAAAGGAGAATTGTTTTTCTTTATTTTGTAGTGCTTTTTTCACACCTTTTCTTTAAAGTCTTTCTCTTCTAGATTTTGGACATATTTGATGGACCTCTCCATTCCAGGGGCCAGAATCTCCGAGACTGATCCTGGATTGAGGAACTCAGCACACGTCCCAAATGGGCGCAGTAGGGCTGCCATAGACTGGAAGTCAGAGAGGATAGTTGTGTTAAACAATAATGTAAAAGTTCAATGCTGTCTGGAACAAAATTAGAGAGACAACATCAGGTTTTTAAAGAGAGATTTAGATTTGAAAACAAGTGTTTCAAGTAGCATACTGTCAAAAATATAAAATAAATAGCATAATCAATTAAAAGTAATAAATAAGATATTCACTGCACAGTTTAGAAAAATTAAGAAAACAAAATCGTTGAGAATTGATGATAAAGATTATTGATCAAACTATGTCCTAGATACAAATGATTACACAGTAAACATACCGGAGCATCCATTTCTTCATTCTCCAGTAGGGCCTTCACATGCTCCAAACCTTTCTTCATTGCAAACTACAAAAAAAAGAAAAATTGAACATAAGGTCTTCAATTGTTCTTCAATCAATACAACACAATGTCTGACCACATCAATTTTTTATTTTTATGACTTTACATTGTGTAAGACATACAAAGTATTTTAAAGTTATTTTTAAAAAGGAAGAATCACATATCCCAGTATATTACTCTCAATGTAAAATTAGTTAAACAAAGGTGTCAGGCTTTAATCTCGACTAAAACCAGTTGTAAATGTGTTACACCTATGTGTGGATATGTCACTTAACCCATGTATGGGTGCATCATTTAACCTTGGCATGGCTGTATCAGTTAAATAGCCGAGACATGGGTAAACTAGTAAAATATATTTACCCTGTTAATCAGATGGGAGAGCCAACCATATGTATCCTGGAAATAGAAATCAAAACTGAAGCAAACACAATTTATCTCAAGCTCTGGCTCAAAACAATAGTCAAATTTGTGAGATAACAATCTATTGTGTAGAATCCTTTCAGACAATGATGTGTCTTACACATGGATAGAAAACTCTTCCTCTCAATAAGTAATCATCAATTTGAAAAAGAAAGAAAAATGAAGTTTTAAGAGATAGTTGTCTCTCAAGATTGATTTCATCACATTTTTCCCAATTCCATTAAATATGAAATGATATTTTTTTATATCCCAAGTTATAATGTGGTTAATTATACACAAAACAACTGAAATCAGTTTTTGACGTCAGAATTATTTTGTTTGCAGTTCATGAAAATTTGCAAACATGTTATTTAGACAACCACTAAAAACGTTTTTAACAAGCTCTATATGTACATATATGAGCTGTTTATTGATCAAAACCTGAGCAGATTTGTAGCCAGTGTTGGTTGTGAACAGTTGTCCTCCCTCCAGTTTGTCATCCCAGTATGTCCTATCCTTCCGAGATCTGTTCTTGTAGTGATACTCTGTGTCCTTGTTTAAAGCCTGAAAGAAGATTTGATCAATTAAAAAAAAAAAATCATCAAGGAAATTCCCCATGTTTAATAACCTCAATTTCTTTATATGTTGTGAACAATTGTATTGTAGAAAAGAAACAGCAACAAAGGTTCAATAACGAGTGTGATCAAATCCTACTTCTATATTAGGTAATGTTACACAGGTAACGAGTGTGACCAAAACGTACTTCTATATTAGGTAATGTTATACTGGTAACGAGTGCGACCAAAACGTACTTCTATATTAGGAAATGTTACACTGTTAACGAGTGTGACCAAAACGTACTTCTATATTAGGAAATGTTACACTGGTAACGAGTGGGACCAAAACGTACTTCTACATTAGGTAATGTTACACTGGTAACGAGTGTGACCAAAACGTACTTCTATATTAGGTAATGTAACACTGGTAATGAGTGTGACCAAAACGTACTTCTATATTAGGTAATGTAACACTGGTAACGAGTGTGACCAAAACATACTTCTATATTAGGTAATGTAACACTGGTAACGAGTGTGACCAAATCGTACTTCTATATTAGGAAATTTTACACTGGTAAGGAGTGTGACCAAAACGTACTTCTATATTAGGAAATTTTACACTGGTAACGAGTGCGATCAAAACGTACTTCTACATTAGGAAATGTTACACTGGTAATCAAATAACCCATCAAAGAACAAACCCCTAGGTGATAGTTGTGGCTCAGTTTACACTGTAGAAAAACCTAACAATTATAGTGTTTACACTAAAGGGCTTAGTATCCTTCCAGTAAGATTTTCTTTCAAAAGGTCTATAGCAAGCGTAAGGTAAAAGTTTGTATGACAAAGCATAAATAATAAACAGACACCTTCCTGGCATCAATATTTACGAGGAACAGGAAGTAACAGCTTACCGTTTGTAGGACATCTAGGAGGCCAATAGGCACTGGTAAGTACTGTAGCCGTATAGCCACCAAGTCAATAAATAGCTGCAGCATGTTGAAAATTCCTTCTTGGATTTCTCCATTCCATCGATGAACAGCAGAGTATGTCATCAGCTATGTAGTAGTAAAGAACAAATATAAATGGACATCACAAACTTATCTTGTTTCTTTATGGTTTCTATCAAGTAATTTAACCAGTATACTGACTGTGATGTTAACAAAACAGTTGTATCTTGACCATGCCAGTCTACCCAGCTGTACAAAGGAGTTTATTGCATTTTCATTGAACAAGGATTTTAATATCTTTTAAACAAATAGCATCCCAAGAAAATCTTTAAAAATTAGAAACTGGCAAATAAGAAATTATGACAATAATATACTTAAGTGGGTTTGTGATGTTCTTTACAGAGATATGTAAAATAATTAATGATGTCAGATAAGGGAGAATAATACCAATATGGGTTACAGACAGTATTTACAATAAATTCATTATCTGTGATCATACCTTCTGGAATGACTCTGGCATACATCTGTCTAGAAAACGTCTACAGTGCTCATCATTTTCAGCCATGTCTATCAAAAATAAAGTAAGGTACATGTCAAAAGGATCATTTTTAATACAAAGTTAAGCTACACAAATGCTGCATGAGTTAATGTTCACATTTCTAAATTAAACTAACGTGATGTCTTATAAGGCTTTCAATCATACCAGTTTGCTTTTTTCTGGACATAATTTAGATTGGACAATCTTACTGCAGCATACAAACTTCAAGTGAGTTTTTTGAAGACAAAGTCACAAATGTCATGTTGTAAATAAATGGTGTCCCATGAGGTAATTATATAGTCAGTTTTCGTTAGATTAAGATTATACAGATGTGAAAATACTAGCATAAAAAAACTCACTAGCTTCTGCAAGTCTTGTAGCAGCCAATAGACATTTGCCCAGAGATTCTTCTTTCTTATAGGGTATGGACCATTGTTCGGCAAACACACGCCCCTCCAGTTCGTACAGGTTGGTGACAGGAAACTCCAGAGGGTTGAGTTCCTCTACCATGCCTTCTCCCCCACTGCCATTTTCAGACTGACCATCCGTTCTCTGTAACAAGCAAGACACTATCACAGTGATTCGCCAGTGTGTGACATAACGGTTGGAAAGGACCCCAGGTTATTCTGAAACTTGTAAGCTCATTCACTAAAAGTAGAACCAAGGATGTCTAAAAACATTTGCGTATATAATTATATACTAATATACATACAAGAGGCCCCTGGACCTTAATGGTCACCTGAGTCATGTAAAAACTGATGTTATCAATGTTGCCAAATGAAAAAGAATACATTTTGTAACAAAGGTAACTTGAACTACATATAATACAAAAGTAGTGTGAAAGATCTGGGTAGTAAATGTACTATGTACAAATAGTGGTTCTGTCAGTCAGCTGAATTTTTGTAAAGCACCTTAAGACCCTTCCAATTATGAAGAGTATTTGATTCTACAATATCTGGGTCTTGAGAAGAAGATTTTTGAAATTTCAATCAATTTGACCCTTTTTGGCCCCACCCCTCAGGCCCCTGGGGGCTGGGGACCTTATTATTCACAATTTTGGTTGACCTTTTGCCATGGAAGGTTTCTGCAAAATTTCTTTGAAATTGGTTCAGGGGTTTTGGAGAAGAAGTGGAAATTGTAAATTGTGCATGGATGCATGCCGGACAAAGGGCGATCGCAATAGGTCACTTAAAATAGACTTTAGAAGATCATTTCATTCAAAAAATATATGAAAAAAATAACATTTATTTGTTGTAAACTTTTTATAGCCTATCTATTGCATATTAAATTTTAAATCAAATATACTTTTCAGTAAGGAATTTAAACTCAGAATTTATTCTTCGGGGGGAGGGGGGATTTTTACGGATAATTCAAATTTAATATTAAAGTTACTTCAATCATAACTTGATTGATTAAAAGGCCTACAAACATGCAGCCCATTATATAACTTGGGACATTCAAAAAGTAACTCAGTAGATTTCTCTAGTTCTGCTGTTGAATATTTCTTCATTTTCTCAATCCCTGCTACATTAAATAATAACTTTTAAGTCTAAAAATACATGTATATCCTCCCAAAAATTTGCAAAAGGGAAGTTTTAATAATTAACTCCTCAGATGATTGACTGGTACTCATCAAACTATGTGCATGATCACCATAAAGAAAAGTACATAATAGTGAGGCAGATAGATTTCTATTTTTGAAGCATATTATTATACTGTTGGTATATATACTATTGACTTGTAATATTGAGTAATTGCAAAATACGGATCTAGCTCACATTGACAAATCACAAAGAAATTCGGATTAAAATACATGTTTTAAATGATCCTACCTTCCTTTTCTGATATTTGTATGATAATGTATGAATTTGTGTGTTTATATGTTTGTTTTATGTCGCGATCGCACAAATATTAATGTCAAAAATGAAAAGAAATACAATGATACTATATAGAAGACTACATTTTTGTTTTCTTATTAATCAAATACATGACATGCGCCTTATTTTGGGCCAACCAATGTCATTATGAAAATCATAGGTTTCTGTTTGGAGGCTGGATATATCTGTCCATTAATGTTATTTCAAATATTGTCATATCATTTTTTTTGTCATTTTTGTACAAGCAACTCTCTTCCCACTTGATTTTGATTGGAGGCTAATATATATTTATTCAAAATAATGGTATAGAGGTTCAATAGTGCGGTTTATATTTATACTTCCTATATGTAGGTCAGAAGAAGTAGCTAAATGAGACCAAATATAAACAACTTGTTAGGTAAACTGTTGCCAGGATCGTAACTATATTTCACAGAAGAGATACGTTTAAATATCGTCGACAAACATCGTAATATATTTTTGCAACATGTGTATCGTATATATGGGAATGCCGAGGCGTAAACAACTATGGATTTGACCATCAAGTAGTCAGTTATAAATGTGTTGCTTTCCTGGTTTACAGACCTCCGGAATGACACACTCGTCGTAGCTAGGTGGTGGGGAGGGGCCGTATACAGGTGCCTGTGAACTCCGGGGATGCAGATCTTTCATTTCAATATCATCTAGTGTATCGTACGATGATGAGGAATGGTCGTTGGTAAGGTATGCTACAGCATCGTTGAGGTCATTTTTGGCGAAGCGAAGGGCTTTCCTGACCTCAATATCGCTAGGGAAGCCCATGCTAAGCAGCGTATTGACGTGCTCTTCGTCAATCTCCATAGCTGCATTTGAATCTTAATCCATTTAGGTGATTAAATATACCAATAAATATTGCAGATATACATTTGAAATGTCCATACAACCGTCTACATGTTCACACACCCACTACTTTCACATGTTGTCCGCCATGATTTTTAAGTTCTCTCCGTCAAGAAAATACAAGAGAACTCGAACAGGGGAGGGAACTCTGTATTTAATATCCAAATAAAAAATTAAAGTAGATTTTTAGAGGAAGGAAATTACACTCATGTATTATTAAACCATGACATAACAATTTGTTAGTGATATCTTAGAAAAAAATACGTTAAACATAATGAGGACACTCAAACAGACCTTAAATATTTTTTTACACGCTTTTGGCATGTGTTCAAGAATGCGGTATTGCAATTGGCACCTAGTACAGTACTAGAAACGTTACTAGAGAATCATTCACGGGTTTTCTACCACATAACATGAACAAAGAAAGAAGTAATTTGGAAAGAACTGAATTTGTGGTAATAATTAAGAAGACAACCATAAATAAAATTTGTTTCACATTGNTGTTTTTTTAAAAAAAAAAAAAAAAAAAAAAAAGATCTTAAGTTTCCTTATTAACGTAACAAGTTACGTCGCGTTTTGAAATTTTAAATGAATAAAGATGCAAATTAAATTAACATTTATATCAAATATGGTAGATATTTCACGATTACGTCTTATCTCTATTCTTTATATTTCATATACAACAGAGATATTTCCTGTGTTATATATCTCTCTGTGATACTTATTGTTACATTATGAAGTCTTTTTGCTATATTTGTGTTACAGCTAGTTGTGACGCGTTGCTCACTTTCCTGTATATGCTTTTGTGTAACACCTGTATATGGACTTCCCTGTGAAGTGTGCAAACATTGCTATTGCATAATTGCTCTATCTATCATAACAGAATAAAATTAGACGTTATCTTGAAGTGGTGTTCTGCAAAACCAGGAAGATAGCATATTTACGTATTAAAATCTGTACCGTGATATCGATCGCTATATAATTTACAACTGATCGTTGTTTTACCTTCGGATGAACGTATTATGCGTCTAGAAATATATATATATATACACTTCCACACAGACTTAGATAGCATATACTCTAATTCCGTGCTTCTATCAAGTAAATATCAGCAGCAGGGGCGTTTCTAGGATATTTGAAAGAGGGGGCGTAGAATCAAATCTTTGATTTTTTGCGGTTCCTGACATGGAGCATGTATNGGGGTAAAGGGGGGGGTAAAGGGGGGGGGGCGTACGCCCATTACGCCCTCACCTGGACCCGCCCCTGAACATGGTGTCATATCTTGTGATCCTGTTAATATCACATACACAAGAAAATGTATATTTAGTTTTTCATTTCATTTTCATAGAAAAAACATGAAATAGAGAAAACATGAAAAAATTGTATCAGGAGAGACCCGAACAGGAAGTCCTATTATACAGGAAGACAGCGAACAAAAAGTCCTACATTACCGAGAACATATTCATATCCTACACCGACACGCGAATGTAATAAAAACTCTCAATCCTGCAAAGATGAGAGAGTCTGTTATATTCTCCAATAAAATATCACAGATATCATTTCATGTATGTCATTAAATTGACGAAGTTTGAAACAACGCCGACAGGCATTATTATCGAGTACAAATAACTAGACTTTAAATTGATCTCATTCATCACAAATTCTTTGCTGATAACGGTAGACGTGATAAAAGGGTACCACAGCGTCATCACACCGGGAAAAGTGAAAACTCGAAGCCAAAACGAAGAGACAACAACATAAACCGAAAACACACTAAAACAAATACAGAGACAGTATATATGCGGCCTCACAAAGCATCAGCTCGGGCAATGCAAACTACCGGTCCCCGAACGAGTAAGTCTTTGACGCCCCCTTACGGTGTGACACACGTGATCAGGTTTGGTATGGGAGGGAAACAAATCTACAAACCCTAATAACCGTTGTTTTGTATTTAATTATTGATAAGACGAGAGAAATGAATCGTTACTACGGTAAGGGAAAGTAATTTAATCGCAACAACTGGGTGGAAGTGTTGGAAAGCCTAACTATTAGCTTTAAAGAATATCTACGGAAGCTCATTGGTGCAAATGAAATCGAAAAAATAATTATTGACACCAATGGGCTTCCGTAGATATCACAACCCGGCTGGATATTATCATACCTTTATGGTGGAGAAGATTATAATTATCATGCACCACGTTGTGAACCCGCCATGTTCCAGGAAAGACCGGTCTAAGTAAGACACATCAAGCACGTTTTTAAAGCATGTTCAGACATGCGGTGTGTATCGAGACCAGATAGAACTGTCACCTAAATGTTGATGTACAGTGGGTGTGTTATTTTGCCTACTTGGAACTTAAGTTAAGTTGGAGTTAAGACATCATGGATCTTACAAAACCGGAGTTAAGACATCATGGATCTTACAAAACCGGAGTTAAGACATCATGGACCTTACAGAACTACAGTTAAGACATCATGGACCTTACAAAACCGGAATTAAGACATCACGGACATTACAGAGCTAGAGTTAAGACATCATGTACCTGACAGAACTGGAGTTAAGACGTCACCGACCTTACAAAACTGGGGCTAGGGCATCACGGACCTTACAAAACTGGAGTCAAGACATCAATGACCTTACAAAACTGGGGCTAGGGCATTATGGAAATTAAAAACAACAGTTAAGACATCATGCACCTTACAGAACTACAGTTAAGACATCACGGACATTACAGATCTTCAGTTATGACATCACGGATTTTACAGAACTAGAGCTAAGACGTCATGGACCTTACAGAACTAGAGCTAAGACATCATGGACCTTACAAGACTAGAGTTTAGTCATCACGGACCTTACAAAACTAGAGTTAAGACATCATGGACCTTACAAACTAGAGTTAAGACATCACGGACCTTACAAAACTAGAGCTAAGACATAATGGACCTTACAGAACTAGAGTTAAGACATCACGGACCTTACAGAACTAGAGCTAAGACGTCATGGACCTTACAAAACTAGAGATAAGACTCACGACCTTACAAAACTAGAGTTAACACATCATGGACCTTACAAAGCTAGAGATAAGACTCATGACCTTACAAAACTAGAGTTAAGACATCATGGACTTTACAAAACTAGAGATAAGAGGTCATGACCTTACAAAACTAGAGTTAAGACATCATGGACCTTACAAAACTAGAGATAAGACTCATGACCTTACAAAACTAGAGTTAAATCATCATGGACATTACAAAACTAGAGCTAAGACGTCATGGACCTTACAGAACTAGAGATAAGACGTCATGACCTTACAAAACTAGAGCTAAGACGTCATAGCCTAACAAAACTAGAGATAAGACGTCATGACCTTACAAAACTAGAGTTTAGTCATCATGGACCTTACAAAACTAGAGTTAAGACGTCATGGACCTTACAAAACTAGAGTTAAGACGTCATGGACCTTACAGAACTAGAGTTAAGACGTCATGACCTTACAAAACTAGAGTTAAGACATCATGGACCTTACAAAACTAGAGTTAAGACATCATGGACCTTACAAAACTAGAGTTAAGACATCATGGACCTTACAAAACTAGAGTTAAGACATCATGGACCTTACAAAACTAGAGTTAAGACATCATGGACCTTACAAAACTAGAGTTAAGACATCATGGACCTTACAAAACTAGAGTTAAGACATCATGGACCTTACAAAACTAGAGTTAAGACATCATGGACCTTACAAAACTAGAGTTAAGACATCATGGACCTTACAAAACTAGAGTTAAGACATCATGGACCTTACAAAACTAGAGTTAAGACATCATGGACCTTACAAAACTAGAGTTAAGACATCATGGACCTTACAAAACTAGAGTTAAGACATCATGGACCTTACAAAACTAGAGTTAAGACGTCATGACCTTACAAAACTAGAGTTAAGACATCACGGACCTTACAAAACTAGAGTTAAGACATCACGGACCTTACAAAACTAGAGTTAAGACGTCATGACCTTACAAAACTAGAGTTAAGACATCAAGGACCTTACAAAACTAGAGTTAAGACATAATGGACCTTACAAAACTAGAGTTAAGACATCATGAACCTTACAGAACTAGAGATAAGACGTCATGACCTTACAGAACTAGAGCTAAGACATCACGGACCTTACAAAACTAGAGCTAAGACGTCATAGCCTAACAAAACTAGAGATAAGACGTCATGACCTTACAAAACTAGAGTTTAGTCATCATGGACCTTACAAAACTAGAGTTAAGACGTCATGGACCTTACAAAACTAGAGTTAAGACGTCATGGACCTTACAGAACTAGAGTTAAGACGTCATGACCTTACAAAACTAGAGTTAAGACATCATGGACCTTACAAAACTAGAGTTAAGACATCATGGACCTTACAAAACTAGAGCTAAGATATCATGGACCTTACAGAACTAGAGCTAAGACGTCATGGACCTTACAAAACTAGAGATAAGACGTCATGACCTTACAAAACTAGAGATAAGACGACATGGACCTTACAAAACTAGAGATAAGACGTCATGGACCTTACAGAACTAGAGTTAAGACATCATGTACTTTACAAAACTGGGGCTAGGGTATCATGGAAATTAAAAACAACAGTTAAGACATCATGCACCTTACAGAACAACAGTTAAGACATCATGTACCTTACAGACTACAGTTAAGACATCACGGACATAACAGAACTAGAGCTAAGACATCATGGACCTTACAGAACTAGAGCTAAGACATCATGGACCTTACAGAACTACAGTTAAGACATCATGCACATTACAGAACTACAGTTAAGACATCACGGACCTTACAGAACTACAGTTAAGACATCACGGACCTTACAGAACTAGAGCTAAGACATCACGGACCTTACAGAACTTGAGTTAAGACATCACGGACACTACATAACTTGAGGTAAGACATCATGCACCAGTTAAGACATCATGGAACTTACAAAACAGGAGTTGAGACATCATGGACCTTACAAAACTGGAGCTAAGACATCATGGACCTTACAGAACTACAGTTAAGACATCATGGACCTTACAGAACTACAGTTAAGACATCA